TAATTTTATTTTATTTTTTTTCCTCACTCAAACAAGATAGATTGGCCTATCGTCCTGTTCACACTCCTTCCTGGTCTTTTTTTTGGAGTAAAGGTTTATCCATTTTCTTCTTTAGGATTGGGTTTTTGGTTCTTTCTAAAAATCCTTTTCATTCTCTTTCACTCCCAGTAGCCTCTTGTATCTTTGTGGCATTATCACCCTGCTTGGGATGACTTGATTTAAAAAAAATAAAAATAAAAAACGGAAGATGATCACTATCTGCAAATATATATATATATATTCAATTAATGGACATTTTCTTAGCATTTCAATATCTGCTCACTTTTCCAATTATTGTTCAATAAAATATTGCTGTTTTTTTAAATACAAATAGCCTCTTATGAATCCATTTTCAGTTTTAACCCCAAGTCAAAGTTGAATATAAACTAGTGGAATTTTGCTATAATGTTTAAAGAAAAAGAGAAATATTAGGTTGGTGCAAAAATAATGACATAATAATGTCGTTTTTTGACGTTAAAAAATACGTCAAAAAACGACATTATTACGTCATTATTTTTGCACCAACCTAATATTACTGTATGTTCTGTGGGCCTGGTAGTACAGAGCTTTTGTTGTACCCTGCTGGAACTCCAGTTCTTTAACTCAAATGGAAATGCTCACTTTGACATCCACAGCCAGATATGACATAAACAGACCATAATTTTGTCTAGCTCCACACCCTCACTTCCAGAATACCACCCAAGAATATAATGGTCATAAAATATCTTTTAGAAGCAATCAGAAAAGGCCAAGAGGTTTTCCTAGCAGCAATTTCTGAGCTACTATAAACCCAACTTTACACATAAAGGCAAATTTAACCAGGCTGGCATCAGCAATGGACTTCATGGCAGGCAAGCTTAACCAAGCAATAAGCAAGATGCTTTCTTTAACAGTGATATCATTGGTCATCGACACAACCAGCGGCAACAGCAAAGACTAATTCTTGGCTACTACAATGTGATAATTTGTGGAATATATCTCCCATGAGTCTATCTCACTACATATATGTTTTGATTTTCTCCCCCGTGTCTATCTTGTCTTATACTCTGAATGAACTCTCCCAGAATGAGCAAATAATGAAACCTTGCAATCTAAGTGAATAAAAAAAAACCTTTTATTTATCTCAGCCACATCTTATCTCTATTTGTTGTTTTGCTACTTTTCTAGATTATTTTGTATTAATGCAGGTGTCCCCCAGAACTATATCCTTGGTTATACTTTGTTTTTAATTTTCATTAATGACCTTCCTGATGACATCAGATCTCCACTTGGTATCTATGCTGATGACACAACCATTTACTCCTGTCTTGATACTGATCAGTTTAATAAGGTCAAATTGGCAGCTGATCTAAAATTGGTCCTCAGTCTGTTGTTAACTGGAGCAAAGAATGGCTTGTTAATTTTAATGCCTCCAAAACAAAACTGGTCTCTATTAATCATCTGGGAGACCCATTTCTGCCTTCCATCAACATGGCTGATGCTAACCCCTAGGAGAGTGACTCGTTGTATCTTCACAGGCTAACATTTTTAGCTGACATGAAGTGGAAAGATTATATTGAATCCATTTCTAGATCTGCTGCTAAGAAAGTTGGTTCACTGTGTTGGGCTAAACAGTGTTTCTCTTCAGAATTTATCTTGCATATCTATACGTCTACCATTCATCCATGTTTAGAATATTGCTGTCACATATGGTCTGATGCTCCTGCTATTTGATTAGAGATTCTTGATAAAATCCAAAGTAGAATCAGCAATATTATCGGTCCTGACCTAAAATACTTTCATGGTAATAATCCAGATGGAGCTCTTTGCTATGGTACCTAGACTTTATGAATTTAAGTGCAATACTAGATTGACAAGAAGGTCTCATCATTTTACAGCTGAATTGGCTAGATGTAACCATAAGTTCTATGCTAACAGTTTCTTTTCTCTCACATCTCACTTGTGGAACTCTCTTCTGGCTCCAAGCTTTCCATCCAGCTTCAATCTTTAAAAATTTAAATGTCAATCATTAACTCCTGTCTTCTCAATTACTTTTCTATTGTTCTTAGTAATGTTTCTGTTTTCTAATTCTTTCACACTCAGTAACCCCTTGTGTCTTAGTGGCTTTATTGCCTTGCTGGGGTAAATACGATTAAAAAAGTCTACTTATATACTCTACACTGCCACTGTCTCTACCTAAACTCTGAAATTTTATTTACTATTTATTTTTTCTACAATAGGAGTAGATAGTTTCACCTGTCATCTGATTCATATTCTCCCCTAGTCTTTTGAACAGGTGTAGAGGTTTATCCTTTGATTCCTGTTCAGGATTGGGTTTCTGGTTAATTATAAAGTCTTCTTATTCTCTTTCACTCCAAGTAGCCCCTTGTGTCATTGTGGCAATATTGCCTTGTTTGGGGTGAATTGATTAAAATGATGGATACAAATGTTGAAACTTTGTATAGACTGTCTGAATGATCTTCCATCAAAATATAATGTATTTTAGGGGTAATGCTATCTATCTGGTGCTTCATGACACATAAGACCTTCACAGACCATCTCCACTCTACCCTGCCCACAGTTGCCACTTTATTCTAAGTGGTTAGATGTACCTGTAAGTTCTATGCTAACAGTTTCTTCTCTTGCTCTTATCACTTGTGGAAATCTCTTCCAACTTCTTGCTTTCCAGCAACTTTGAGCATCAAAAGTTTAAATGCAACATCACTCATTATCATTTTTCCTCATAATTCCTGTTCATTTATAGTTCTTTTTCCTTAAATCTTTTCATTTTCTCATAATCTTCCACACTCAGTTAACTCTTGTGTTCTTGTAGCTTTATTACCTTGCTTGGCGTAAAAATTTAAAAAAAAAAAAGTTACCTGGATTGACAGATACCTGAAGATGGCTGGAGGCAACAACAGCCAAAACATTGTCATAACAACAAAAGATGAAGATATTAGTCCAACTGTAAATAATATTGACCTCCAGAAATTTAGACAGAAATTGCCAAACATTAACTAAAACTAGCCAAATCCCCTTCTTATGAGCATTTCTCTTAATAAAAATTTTAAAATAATTCAGCAGATGTTATTTTATTTATGGTAACTGGATTTTTCGTGATTACCTTCCTCAGTTTCTGTCATTCAATACTGTGTGTCTGCAAATTGGCACTTTTATCACAGTTGCCATTGTGTCTTGTACTTTTGGCTGGGATCAAAGTGTAGTATCCCTCATTGCACTAAAGAGGTGGAGATTGATAGTAATACCTGTGTTGGAATGCGTCACGAAAAAATAAATGACTTCGTCTCTTTCTCTCCTGCTGTCGTAGTGATGGACACAGTCTCCACTTCTGAGACTGAAAACTGACCTCCTTCTCATTCCAGCCATTTAGATAGAGCTTGGTAACTCACCTATGCAAAACACCAACAAGCCAGCTACCAATCACAGTTCCTGCGCCTGCCCACCTCCACTCGCTTTGGGGGTGTCAAGTTGACCGACCAACTCATTACAAAGAAGTGGAGATTGATAGTAATACCAATGCCAGTGCAACTGACAATTGCAAGGGCTGGCTATTTTGGGGTCTGGCCCAGTTACACACACTTGTGTTCCCCACATTAAACTGACCTTGTGGGGCAGCAAGAAAATACAATCACCTATCTTCTTTTTGGCTACGATCAAAGTGTAGTAGCTGTTCTTTTCAGCTTAATCTGATTCTTGCTCTCTCTCCACTTCTATCTTCCCTTCTATTATTCACTGAAACCAAGTAGTGTCTTTTCTCTTTTCACATGATCAAAACAGAATAGTCCATTATTTATGAGTTACTGGCAAGGCTTAATGATCGTGCAAACTAATGAAGGGTGGGACAAGCACAGTTATAAGAGGATAATTTAAATTTTGATTTGGGGGACAAAAATTATATGTAAGTTTGTGAAGAAAATTAAAATAATTTTTAAAAAATGAGTATTATTTATTTTCTTTTTTTAAATGCCATATCTCTTCAGGATTCTTTTTTTTTCACTATTTATAACTTGCCATACTTTCTGTTGCCTTGTTCACAGTTTAGAATTCAGAGTTTTCCTTATCTTAGACTGATTGCACCCAAGGCTAGAAAACCGAGTCTACCCTGCTATTTTGTTAACATTAATCTAACAAAACTTAAAGAAATATTACTTTTAATTTAAAATAGTAATTTTAAGAAAAAGAATGATTTTTTTTTTTTTAAGGAAAAACTTAAAGGAAGTCTGCAACTGGCTAAAGCCAAAGAGGACAATTTTGGCAGATAAGGACATTGACAAATAAAAAAAAGATAAGTTAGAGATGATGGTAATTTAGATAGGAGAGAAAGATATTGGTCAGGCTAGGTTTCTGTTTGAGTGACAAGGTAGAAAATAATACAAAGATATATAAAGGTAAATAAAAGTAGTAAATCTTTAATCTTACTTATTATAAAACGCAGATTGTGTGTGTGTGTGTGTGTGTGTGTCTGTACGTTTATATATTGGATCAGATTTCCTACATTTTTCAACCGATTTCAACAAAACTTCACAGGAGTACATAAAATTACCATGTGGTGGTTCTGACAGTGCCAAAATTTGGAAAAACAATTGTTTTTGCATGAAATCAATTTGAAAACACGATTAAGAGGCATTAATGAAAGGGGGACAACTCATATCGAGTTATACTTATTATAAAACCCAGGTTGTTTGTTTGTGTGTGTGTTCGTTTATATATGGGATCGGATTTCCTACATTTTTCAACCAATGTCGAACACACTCCAACAAAAAATAGTCACCCGAAGTACCAATTAAATATGGTGACCCGGAACGCGAGTTGAACGCCCAACTAAAACAGTGAACCCGACGTGCGAACTAAAATAGTGATACCCGACGTTCACATAAAAAATAACTCATCGCCAACAAAAATTTGGTGACTACGACATAAAAAAAAAAAAAAAACGAATTGGATAAAGAATTTCAACACAGATGGCTGATCCAGTCCCCATATCAGAAACAGCCATCAGGCTAGAAATGCCTGCCTTCAACGCAAATGTGCAAACGTGGTTCCTTCAACTTGATGCAATATTTCAAGCCAGGCGCATAAATTCTCAACAATCAAAATTCGCGGCAGTAGTGGAAAAACTACCAGCAGAGGTAGCAGTTGAAGTAGCAGATATATTAACTTCCTTCCCAGTAGAAAAACCGTACGAAATTCTCAAGCAAGCGATATTGCATAGATGTGGTTTTTCAGAGGAGAAAAGAATACGTGATCTTTTATCTAATGTCACGGCTGAAGATACCAAACCATCGCAATTACTACGAAGAATGCAACAATTATTGGGCGATAATGATATATCAACCACGGTATTCCGACAAATGTGGCTGGACAAACTACCACCAGATGTAGTACGAATTTTAGCTGCATTGGCGGATGATATGGATATCCAGAAGCTTGCGACAATTGCGGATAAAATAACCGACACGGCACCAATTAAACATATTTCCGCAACTAACACAGGGGATGGCCTTGTGCCAGACATCGATCGACAAATACAAAAACTATCTACAGACCTGCAAGAAATATCCATACAACTACGTGAGCTACAGAATTCTCACGCAAGCCGACGCGATAAATGTTATACCAAGCGTAACAAACAAAATTGGAGATCAAATTCTCGGCACAAATACCAACGACAACGAAATGGCTACCAAAACGAAAAATGTTGGTACCACGAAAAATTTGGCGCGCACGCTAACAAGTGTAGACAACCCTGTTCATACAAGAAATCACCAACCATTAAACAAGAGGGAAACGAACATCCTGGCATTCAGTAGAGACGTTGGATGCCAGAAAATTCAAGACTAACCGTCTCTTTTATATTTACGATAAAACCAGTGGGATGAATTTTTTGGTTGACACCGGTGCCCAAATCAGCGTCTTACCTCAGAAGAATTGCAGTAGACAACTTCTAACGAAAAACACAGCGCTGAAGTTGCAAGCGGCAAATGGCACACCCATCGCTACATACGGTGAAAGAACCCTAACATTAGACATAGGTCTAAGAAGAGAACTCACGTGGACATTTATAATCGCAGATGTCTCGATGCCCATATTAGGAGCGGACTTCCTGACGCATTACGCATTATCAGTGGAACTCGCATCTCAAACACTAACTGACACGAGTACAAATGTCAAACGCTGCGGTTTCATTTCAAAATACTCGACAATCGGTCTGACGAATATTATACCAACAGCCAATGGCTACGACGAGATAATACGTCAGTACCAATCACTGCTAACACCGTCATCACGCAACGAACCCGTTAAACATCATGCTACACACAGTATTAAGACAACTGGTCCCCCAGTTCATTCCCAACCACGTAGGCTTCATCCTACCAAACTAAAAATTGCACGAGACGAATTCGATAATATGCTTAAACTAGGCGTAATTCGCCCTTCAAAAAGCCCTTATGCCAGCCCTCTACACATGGTTACGAAAGCAGACTCAATCAGTTGGCGTCCGTGCGGTGATTATAGGCTATTAAATGCCCAGACTGTTCCGGACAAATATCCAATACCACACATAAAGGATTTCGCATTATCGCTGGAAGGTGCAACAGTCTTTACCAAGCTCGACCTTAAGAAAGCTTATTACCAAATCCCAATCGAAGAAGATGACATTCAAAAGACTGCCATTACTACCCCTTTCGGACTATTCGAGTTTACGAGAATGCCCTTTGGATTGCGTAACGCGGCACAATCATTCCAAAGGTTGATCGACGAGGTGCTACGCGGTATGCCTTACACGTACGCATACATCGACGATGTACTGATAGCAAGCAAATCCCATGCTGAACATCAGGAACATTTACACGCAGTTCTAAAACGCCTGCAACATTACGGACTGAAATTAAACATCGACAAGTGTATATTTGCTGTACCACAATTAACTTTTCTCAGACACGTCATAGACCAGCAAGGATTGTCCCCCTTGGATAACAAAATAACAGCAATCACAAATTATCCCCCACCTTCTACGTTGAAGCAATTGAGGAGATTTTTGGGGATGGTAAACTACTATCGACAATTCATACCAAACTGTGCGTCGATATTATTACCACTAACAGACATATTATCTCAACGAAAAAAAAAGAACTCACAGATTACATTATCGAAAGACGAATTAGAGTCTTTTAAAGACGCGAAAGAGGCATTACAAAGATGTACAAAACTAACGTATATCAATTCATCTGGAAACTCCAATCTTACCCTCACAACGGATGCATCGGCCGACACGATCGGCGCAGTACTGCACCAGATTACCAACGGTATAGAGAAACCCCTATCTTTTTTCTCGCTAAAGTTGAATACTACACAGAGAAAATATAGCACTTTCTCGAGAGAACTACTCGCAGTATATTTGGCAATACGTCACTACCGACACATTTTAGAAGGAAGAGATTTCGTAATCCTCACCGACCATAAACCACTAACATACGCATTAAACGCAAAGGCTGACAAACTGAATCCGCGTGACCTCCGATACTTAGACTACATCGGCCAATATACGTCAGATATTCGGTATGTAAAAGGTCAGCATAACACTGTAGCAGATGCATTATCAAGAACCACACTTAACACATTACAGTCACAGACACTGAATTTTGACACACTCGCCGATGAACAAGCGAACGATAATGAACTACCGTCAGTACAGGAAGATACTTCACTTAAGATCGAAAAAAGACCTTTACCTTTTACGGACAAACTTGTTTATTGTGATGTTTCTACAGGCAATCCTCGACCCTACTTACCTCTTTCAAGGAGAAGATCGATCTTTAATCACTTCCATTCACCAGCTCATCCTGGAGCGAAGGCTACGCTGCGGATCATATCCGACAGATACGTCTGGCCCGGTATGGCTTCAGACGTGAAACAGTGGTCCCGCACGTGCCAACGTTGCCAGGCAACAAAAATACATCGACACACCAAAGCGCCATCATCAAGTTTTGCGACACCAGATGGACGATTTACTCACATACACGCAGATTTGGTGGGTCCACTCGAGAAAATAAATGGACATGAATATATCCTAACAATTATAGATCGCTTCACGCGATGGCCAATAGCTGTACCGCTAACGTCGATAACAGCAGAAGCGGTGGCGAATGCGATTTTTCATAACTGGATTTCTATTTTCGGATGCCCTGCGGTTATCACAACCGACAGAGGTCCCCAATTCCAGTCAACACTGTTTAACGAATTTGTCAACATCCTGGGTATAAAACACATCTCCACTACGGCATATCATCCATGCAGCAACGGCCTAGTAGAGAGATTTCACCGACAGCTCAAGTACGCATTAACAGCGTCTACCAGCGCTCGTACGTGGGTAGATAAGCTACCATTTGTGATGCTTGCGCTACGCAACACGATTAAACTGGATCTCAAATGCACTAGCGCAGAACTAGTCTTCGGAAAAACAACAACACTACCAGGACAAATTTTCCATAACGAAACGAATTCTACCCCAACTAATTACTTCGTGGCCGACCTCAAGAGAAAAATGACAGACATTATATATACGCCTACACGAGTTTGTAGAAAGCCTTTCTACGTGCCGACAGATTTACATTCGTCAGAATATGTTTTCCTGCGGCGCGATACAGTACGAAAACCATTAACGCCAAACTACACAGGCCCACATCTAGTAATATCCAGAACACCCAAATACTTTACGATCGACATCGCTGGTAAACAAAACACCGTCAGCATCGACAGACTTAAACCAGCATATTTACAGCGCGACGACACAGATCAAACAACAACAAAGACGACAGCAACAGAACAAACAGATACGCAGACAACAACTACTGATACGAATAAACCAACACAGTCTACTCGCACAAAATCAGGTAGACATGTTCACTGGCCGACCAAATATCGAACCTACGTAACATATTAATGCTCATTGATCATGGCATTAATCTGGGGGGAGGTATTGTGGACTCTTCCAATATCCTCACCTTTTTCTAACCTAAAAAAGGCACAGTCCACATCGTACGCCTACGTACAAAAAAAACTCAGCCAATAGAAATGGCGAGAATCGAATCAAGCAATTCCATTGGTCAATCGTTTTCGGAAACAGGAATTGCGCCAAAACGAGTTGAGCCACTTTTGAAAACACAAAGAATATAAAAGGAGAAGCAGACAGCCCCAGTCAGTCAGTCTAGCCAACTCGGAGTCAGGAGTCCACACTCTTGGCTGTTTTCTGGTTATTTTTTTGGACTTTTGCGGACAACTCGACCTTTTTTTGTGTGATTTTACCTGTTACCCTTTGGAACTGCATTTTGTTTAAAGTTTGTTTATTTTTGTATATTTACGACCTTATTGTAAAAGTTTTTTGATTTTTTTCTTTCTACTCTCCATTTTTTTTTCTCACCCTCCCCCTTTAATTTTTACTCTTTATTCTGTTTTTACTCCCTTTAATTTTTACTCGTTTTCCTTTTTAATCCTATTTGCTTTTTTGAATTTCGTTTTTTCTCCTCTAATTTCCGCAGTTTTTTCTTCTCATTTCTACCCCTTTTAATTCTAGTTTTTCGTGTTAATTGTCTTTTTCTTTTTTTTTTCGTCCTGTTCGTTATTCTGTGTTTTGCTGTAATTTCTTATTAATTTATTTATTTGTTTGCATCCTTTTAATTTTACGTGTTTTTTGCTTGTAATCGTTTTAATCTATTTTCTTTTTGTTTATTGGTTCGACTCGCTTAGGGTCGGCCATTTTTATTTTTTGTGTCTAGCTTCGTCTGTCTTCGTTACGTTTTTTTTTGTTTATTGACGTCGGCCATTTTTTGATTTTTGTAACTAGCTTTGTGTTATTGTTTCGTAATTTTTTGTTGACGTCGGCCATTTTGATTTTTTTTAGCTTCGGCTTTTGTCGAAGTTTTTTTTTCTGTCTAAAGTTTTTTTTTTTACATTATTACGTGTTTGTCTTTTTTTGTCGCCTTTAGGCGATATTTGTATTTTTTTTATTGTACGTTTAGGTGAACCGTCTAATTGTTTTTTTGGTGTCCATAATTATTTTATTTTTTTTGAGTTTTTTCCTTTTTCTCTCGCCCATATATTTATTGCCCCCTCCCCCCCCCCTTCCCATTCCCCCCATTTAAAAATATGGATAAGAAGGAAAAAAAAGTACCTTCTTTTTTAATCGTAAAAAAGAAAATTAAAAATGCTTCTCTTAAAAGAAGTATAAGAAAGCACCTATTTAACCCTAAGAAGGACCCACCCGATAAAGACAATAAGGAGGAATATCCTGACCTCCCAAGTGTTCCCACAAACGAGGAAATTGTGGAGACATTGAAAAAAGCCTCCAAAAATATGGAAGCTGAAAAAAGCGAAAATACAGACAAAGAATCGGACAACACAAAAACGAATGCAGAGGCCGGGGAATCGCCCTCTTGTTGGAAGTCCCCTCCTAAATGCATAATCAATTTAGTGGAGTTCTTGGAGCGTGCCAAGAGTTACGCCCACCTTGTTGTTGAAGGTGGTCTTTTGGAAGACCCCCAAGAATTAAAGAGAATTGATAAAAGAATAGTGTCAGTTTTCGTCGTGGACAAGCGCACGCGCAAAATTTGTCGCTCGACGAAAAACACAGTGTTGAAAGCACTAGAATCCTTCGGGTTCAAGCCCCTTAGAATAGTTAAGGGTGCTAAATTTTTCATGTGGGACGTACTGTTGCCCACACCAGAAGATTGTGTCGCCGCGGCTAGCCGCGAACTAATCAACAACGAGTTGATATTGCGTACCGAATACGAAGGGCGACGAAGGACCAGTG